TCTGAAAAGTCCGTTCTTTTGGTTTATAAATACATTGAGCATTCTCTCCTCTTAAGCTAATAAATCTTTGTTCTATCAAAGCATCCCCTTGTGGTTAGAACCACCTAGCGACTTCTACTTCCTTAAAAGACTAGTTCGTAGAGTACCCTAAAAAGGAGTAGATTGTAGTGATTACTTCTGGGTCCCAATTACTCGTAAAATGTCTTGTGACTTTGTGTACACATTAAACATTCTCCTCGTAGAAATTAATTTGTTGTTTCCTTGTAAAATAATAAAAAAAAACTACGTCAGAAATGATAAAATTAGTGTTTTGTTGCTTAGAATTCTACTTAAAGGACTAGTCCATAAAGTACCTAAAAAGGGGTAGATTGTAATGATTACTTCTGGATCCCGAATTACGCCTATTGACTTTGTATACACATAACACATTCTCCTCTTAATAAGGCCCATTTTGAGATATATAGAGTGAATATCAATCATCTAAATTGTCATTTCCTTATTAAAAAAATTCAGAAACTGTGTCATAAATGATAAAATTAGTGTTGCTTTTTCAGATTCTTGGTTGATGGTGATACAAATACTTGGTAAGCACAGAACTGGTGAATTTTTAATCGGGGCCTGGATTCAATCGGGCAAAAATCACCGGGGCAATCGAATATCCATCATCCCACAGAGACTGTCTCCAAGTAATCCTTTGCTGTTTGAGTCCGATATCCATCATCCCACAGAGGCTCCAATTTTTCGTGAAGCAATTAGTTATGACTGAAGTCGTGTCTCTTGAAGCAACCCGAACCTGATAAACGGGTTTATATTTTGGATTGTAATAAAATCAAAGGTGGGAAGACTTTTCCCAATAATGCCATGGTTAATCCTTGAAGTGCTTGCAAATAAAATGCTACCAAAAAAGAGTACTTATAGATTTAGCTCCTAAAAAAGTGGCTTCAATAGTGTCTCTGTTAAATACAATACTAAGCCCCTTGGTAACCATTCTTTTAATTTTTTTTTTCCATACCCATTTTCAATCATTCATTCTCACAGTAAAATATTTTTCATCTAAGCACAAAATTTTTCCTACTTTTTAATCATACGTTTTTCAAAAAATTACTATTTCAAAACTCATTATTCCCAAAATATTCAAAAGAATGGTTGTTGAATAGGGGCCTAAAGAGATCCAAACAAGCGAAGTGATTTTGTCATCATGTTAAAGAGGTCATAAGTTGACGCAGAACGGAAGACGAAGATTTACGAACGTAAATTTGAAGAACCAAATTGGGAATCCACCAAGAAACGAAATTTTATAATAATCAATAATGATCCGAAAAATGTTCAAAAGCCTTTAAATAGGCGTTACACGAACCCCTAAAAATATAGAATAGTAAAACGTTCCAAAAATAGAGAAAATTCAAAACGGGAAATATGGAAA